CTGTGGGTCGCGACCCAAAAGTTGGTCACAGCCCACTGTTGAGGGGGTCACCACATGCTTTGTGCGGCGCTAGGTGAGAGGCTCCTCAGCCACCTCCTAGAGCAGCAGTGTCAGTTCTCCGGCCGCACCGCTAGATGGCGCTGCCGCACCGGAAGCCGAGGAGGATGAAAGAGAGGGGAGCGGGTAGGAGTGAGGGGAGTTAAATGCTGGCTTGACCACCAAAGAGCCTCACTGGCCCCCAGAGAGCCCACACTGGCTACCAGAGAGCACCCAATGGCCACCAGAGAGCCCCATTGACCGCGAGAGCCCCATTGACCGCAACAGAGCCCCATTGAACTCACATGAGCCCACACTGGCCACCTGAGAGCTCATACAGATACTAGTATTGGTGCATTCCTAAATTTTACCATTGGGGGTCACCACAACCTGGCAAATGTTACCAAGGGGTCCCGGCCCTAGAAAGGTTGAGAACCACTGGTTTAGAGGCAGGATTTCACCGTAGAGGGAGAGTTTATAAAAGAAGATGCAACCTATAGAAAATCCCTCATCATTGGTCTCACTGCTCCCTTTAGTGTTGCTTTGCTGGGCAATAGAATTGATAAACGTCCTCCACAGAATGATGCTGGAGGCAGAGAAAAACACCTGGTCTTGAAGTGGTTAAAGGGGGCACGGTAACCATATATAGGCCAAAATCAGATTACATGTCTGAGTAGCCAAGCTTCTGGTAGGTATAGTGTTCCACAAACCAGCAGCACTCATTTTTCAATTCTGTTCCACGGTAAGGAAATGCTATACGGGAGCAACGAGACAGATTTACTATGAGATTGCAGCTCGGTTCCTGAATTCCCCGTCTACTGCGACGGAATAAAACTTGTCCCACTCCGCTTCTTAACCACTTGAAGAGGAAGAAAAGTACCGAAAATTTAGGGGGAAAAAACACTTTTCGCCACATTATGTTATGAAACATTTATTATTACCCACTTTTTTGGTAAAATATAAAAGACGGGGTCACATCGGTTAAATAGACACCACACAAGTCAAACCTTAAAAGTGTGTGCGCCCGTGCAATCGCAAAAAAACGACTATACCCAAAATTGGCCACAGGTGACGCTTTAAGGCCTTGTTCACACCAAGCGCGTTCCAGGAGCACAGCAGTTACAGACCGGATCAAAACTGCGTCCAATGGTATTTTGGGCTCTAGTCCACACCGCAGCGTTCAGTTCCAGAGCATGTAAAAAAACTGCGGCAAGCCCTATTTTACCTGCTCTGGAACGCATGCAAACGCATCAAAAACGTATGCAAACGCCCTGGAACGCACTAAAAGCCCATTCTAAACTAAAAATATATATTTTTTTTTAACCAAAAACGGCCCTGAACGCATCAAAAACGAGGCACAACCCACTGCACTGCGTGTGCAGAACCTCATGCAGATCTGGTCTGCATTTGGTGTGAACAAGGCCTAAAAGCTATTACAGCTCCTCAGTTTAGTGTTATCAGTGATTGAGCTCCCTAGAATTATTGCTCGCACTCAGACGTTCGCGGTGATACGTAACATGTGCGGCCCAATCGTCGTCTTGGAATATAGGCGTACCCAACGCATGCTTGTGTTTGTATGTGTATGTGGGGGCGGGGACATTAAACATTTTTTGTGTTTTTTTTTTAATTTATTTTTTTATGTGACTTTAATTTTTGATGTGACTTTTTTTTTTACACCTAACTTGCCATCACATAATGGGATTCCAGGAAGTGGGTGAAGGTAAAGGGCAGACAGGGGGCTGTGCTCACTACATAAAAGGGGTGTTTTCAAGTAAACTTTGAGGGCTAGTTCACACCAGCCCCAGTGCGTTCGGTCCCGTAACACATCCCGGCCGGCTCCCTTTGTTTTGGGGTGGGGCATTGAAGTCATTGGCACTGCACTCACACCCTCCGGCCGCAGTGCGATCGCCCTCACTGGAACGCATGGCACATCTCTGCCTGCGTTATGGTCTGGTCAGAAAAAATAGTGCATGCAGCAGCCAGTCAATGCCCGCACATACCTGCCCCCTTTGTCTCTGAACCATCGGCTCCCCATTATCCTCCGACAGATCATTGCCCCGCCCCGTGTATTACAATGGGTCCAGCAGTAGGGTGTATCTAGAGGTCAGGTTGGAGTTTAGGTGCACTCAATGCAACCTTGAACAGTCTATTATACAAGTCGTGCTGTACAGTTCACTCTTCACTCTGTTTTCAATCTTTTTCCTGTTGCTTTCAGGCTGACCAACCCTTGCAGTACGTCCACTGCAAAGTCTCTGACCATGCCTTGTAGTATGCCAATAGTCTCTGACCATCTTCTGTAATATGCCCATAGTATCTGACAATATTTTCTAGTATGCCCATAGTCTCTGTCCATCTCTTGTAATATGCCCATAGCCTCTGACCATCCCTTGCAGTACCACCAACTGCATAGTCTTTGACCAACTGCATAGTCTTTGACTATGCCATATAGTATGTCCATAGTCTCTGACCATCTTCTGTAGTCTGGTCATAGTCTCTAACCATCCCTTGTAGTATGTCCAAAATCTCTGACCAACACTTGTAGTATGTCCATAGTCTCTGACCATCCCTTGTAATATACCATTGGTCTCTGGCCATGTTCTGTAGTATGCCCATAGTATCTGACCACTTCTTGTAGCATGACCATATTCTCTGACCACCTCTTGTAGTATGCCCATAGTCTCTGACCATCTTCTGCAGGGCCGTCTTCAATAGTGGTTGGACCCTGGGCAAACATTTTCTTGGGCCCCCGCCCCTACCCACCAAGCCAAGCCCCCTACCTCCCATGCAGTTTCTCTCTCCACCCCAGCATCCCAAATCAATGTATTTATTTTATAAATGTTTAAAATGATTGGCCCAGTAACTGAAGGAGTGTTACAATCAGCCAGCGCTGAAGATATATAAAAAGTATATTTAAAAATATATGTGCTCGCTAATTGTAACACTCCTTCAGTTACTGTTTGTGAATCACCCCCCTTTGCAGAACTCACAAAGTCCGATAGAAGTGACATTTGAGACCAATCAGCTAGGCAAGTGATCGGTTCTCCTGCACATGCGCAGTGAGCCAATCTGACCCGGAACAGCCGACAAAGCTTTGGAATGCTTGACCTAATGGGCGGTCACACATTCCACCGCTGTCAAACTATGCAGGATTATGTTGGAATGTGTGACCACGTCACCTGTCACACATTCCAACGTAGTCACAAACTTTGACAGAACACCTGCTCTGTCACTTGCAGAGGCGTCCCCTGAGTAATACAGTAGTGAGGGAGGAGTAGGGTCCGGTGGCTCTGTCTGTCTCCGAAGCACAGGGATCAGAGCCTATCATGCATGCCTAGACCAGCCAGCCCGCCCAACTGCTTTACCAGTTGCTAGGCAGACAGGGGGCTGATAAAAAAAGGTCCCGAGCTCCTTATCTCTGCTGCCTGTCTGCAAGGGGATCAGAGTCTGTCATTGAGCCTGTCATTCACAGTGTCAATGACAGGCTTAATGACAAGCTCTGATCCCCGTGCTCTCCCCCCTCATCCTCCTGGTTTCCCTTATCTCTATCCCCCCCCCCCTGTTCCTTGCAGACAGGCAGCAGAGATTGGGAGATCAGGACTTTTGTCTGCTCTGCCCAGCAACTGATGACGTGGTTGGGTGGGCCAGTGTACGTATTTATGACAGCCCACCCATCAGCATCATCAGTTGCTAGGCAGAGCAGACAAAGGTCCCGATCTGTGCTGTCTGTCTTATCTCTGGAGAGATAAGGGAAACCAGGAGGATGAGGTGGAGGGGGGCACTGACATCCCACATCTCCAAAAACAAAATGACCGACTTATGCGGCATTATCATAAATGGATCATAGATGAGGGGACGGACGCCTGTGTGCACACCTGGAGATGTTCCTTTGACTTTGGGGCTGTGCAGGGTGTCCTGTGAGTTAAGCCTCGTTATGATACACACAACCTAATACACCCCAATGGCAATACTAAGATGGCAGGTCTATACTATCGATATAGTATAATGACGTGACTTTTGCTGGACTCAGCTCCGCCTCTAGCGCGATCTTTCTGGGTCTTTTGCTCTTTGATGATTTTCCGTTGTATGATCATTGTCCATACATTGGATATGTAACAATGGCCGTTTTCCTTATTACTAGTACTGCTTAGCACATATGTATTAGGCATTGCATTGATGAACGGCATATAACCACCACCATTTCTCAACTTTCCTCATGTAATATCAGCATCCATCTTTATTATATACTTTATTGGCCATATTTGTGACCCACTTGGGAGTCTATTGGGTGTTCGGCGCCCCTAAATGACTCATTATGCTTTATAACACAGGGTGTACTTATAAATGGGATCACTCAACTTTAACACATTTTTTCTACTGGCTTCAATTGAAAAAATTGCCTCCCGGGTGAAAGTTGTGTGAATACATCTACACATAGCTCTCTTATATAAGGGTGAGCAATGACCCTTCGTATTTATGGCCAGATTTACAGTGTGCCATGGGCGCTGCAGACAAGACTGTATAAGGGCTGCAGTGAAGTAAAGCAGGCGGGCATGTGTTGGCATAGTATAAAACTTGGAAGGCATGGCTCTGTCAGTACTATGAGCTCTCCTGCCTCCAGTCCCCTCCCAATTGCTGCTGCGTTTATCAGCAGCCTCTACTGCGCATGAGGCGCTGCGACCACACTGTGCATGTCCGAGTGACGCATTGCAGGTACCCAGCGGCCAATCAGCGCACAGCTCTTTCACCTCACACCCGTCTCGCCGTTCCTCGTCCACAGCCGCCGTGGGAAAGTAGTCCCCGCCGTTCTCCGCTAGCCGCTCATAAAACTATCGTAAACCGCGCAACACTAAAAACCGCTAGTCTTCCGATCCATCCTTAGCCGTTTTCGACCGGTGCTCACGGCTTCCGAACGGGAATACGGGTACAGATGTCGGTGCTCTGGCGCTTGAGAGAGCCGCGCCATCGATTTCTTCATAGTGGGCGGAGTCAGCGCGGCGGCGGAGGAATCCAGGGCGGAGGGAGGTGTTTATGAAGAGCGGTTGGCGGCGGTTGGAAATTAGTCCGAACCGAGCCTTCGAGGGGTGACTGTTTAGCTTGCTGGAGCTGCGCGCTACATCCATTCGAAATGGTGAGTAACGGCCGCCACCAACACCCTAGCCGGTCTGTGGCCGGTGCGGGCTGCAGCCTCTCTCCTTCTCTGTCATACCCGGGGGGCTCATTGCGCACTTGCTTAATAACCAAAGCGGAGCGTGGTTGCTTGCGAGAGCCGAGGCGGGCTTGTGTCCTGTCTGTGCCGGTACAGGCTGTTCGCTGGGAATGCGACGTTCTGGATGCAGACACCGGCAGACGCAGCGAGCTGGCTGTACACAGACTATGGCATGTAGCGCGATAGGATCGTGTGGTCATGGCGTAACATGAGCGAGGTGGCTGTTTTAAGCTGACTGCATACTATTCAATGCTCTTCCGTTGATTATCATTCAGGGGCCTCCATGATCTGATCCAAATTAAATGATAGACCTCTATTTTACAAATCTATATGAGATTGTATAGTGTATGCCCAGCTTCAGGACATTCTTGATGCAATGAAGTTATGTTTTTCTGTATCCACCCCATTCATTCTGCATGTCAGTTGTAGGAGGGCGATGGAGGGGTCTGGATGAGCTCTGGTGGCTATCGGATCTTTGTATAAATGGAGACTGAGTACATTGTATCTGCTCATGAGGTACTCCGCGTGACAGCCATGTGGCTCAGATCTCCATAATGGCATATACTATATACTTTTTATTGTGGGGTTTATGTATGGGGATGGCTGTCAGTGATCGATGACAGGTCTGCTTTGGTACCTCCTTCAGTAAGTGGTCTGTAAAATATATCCTGATGTATTAAGGGGGGTGTTGGCTTTGCTGGGTTTGGGGACCAGGCAGGGTAAGGAGATCAATGAGTGCCGTCATTCATTGAGCATTGCTAGGTGTAGCCTGTATATGAGGGCAGTACGCTTTCTAGTTACCAGGGTTTGAATAAAGCTAGGGCTTGCCGCATGCAGATCCCCCTCCCACGCCCTGCCGCTGCTGACTGACAGCCTCTTTGTATCCTGAAGAGGCTTGGAGTGCCTGTTACATAATCTGAAATAACCCGTCACAAACTGGGTCGAACAATCGCTGATACTCTAGGATGGGACGTTGGTGATTGTGGCACTGCTGTGACCTGTCATGTTTGGGACTTTAGTCAAACCTTTGTGAGCCTTTTTGTTACCGTGCACAGGATATCCATGCATGCTAATACTGATAGCAGCTCATGTATCTTATGTTATTTTTTTTGGCTTGCAGTAAACCTTTTCCTTTGTTTAGGTGAATGGCTAACGACATGTATGATGGGCTGCTTCTAATTTTTCTCTTTTTTTTTTAAAAAAAAGGCAGGAATGGCGTGCTGTCCTGGCCAAAGTTCAGCAGGGAAGTTTAACAACCCCTTAAGAGGGAGTTGGCCAGAAGGCTTGTCAGAGGCATTCATCTCCTCCCTAGATCAGGGTGGGTCCAGCCGCATTGTGCTGCAGTTTCCGGCAGGAAGGCTTTCAGTCCTGCCCATTCAGACTTGGGTGTTGTAGCTACCCAGGGGACTGTTCTAGGTCTGAATCCAATGCTTTCCTTCCCTGATCCATTTCATTATACAAGGCCAGTTCATATAGGAACGGGTGGTGTAGCTACCCTGTGGGACTGTTCTAGGTCTGGCTCCAATGCTTTCCTTCACTGATCCATTTTATTATACAAGGCCAGTTCATATGGGTGTTGTAGCTACACTGGGGCACTGTATTCTAGGTCTTAATCCAATGCTTTCCTTCCCTGATCCATTTCATTATACAAGGCCAGTTCATATAGGAACGGGTGGTGTAGCTACCCTGGGGGACTGTTCTAGGTCTGACTCCAATGCTTTCCTTCACTGATCCATTTTATTAGACAAGGCCAGTTCATATGGGTGTTTTTGCTCCACTGGGTAGCTCCCTGATCCATTTTATGATATAAGGCCAGTTCATATAGGAGCCGGTTTTATCACACTTTCGGTAGCTGTGGCCATTTACGGCATTACATTGCTGGTGTGAAATTATATATGATCTTGTATTTCAGGTTTTTCTTAACGCTTAGAAATGATGACTGTAGTCAACAATACATGTTGTGTTGCTGGCTTGTCCTATCTAGTTTAGCAACACTTTGAATGTATAAAGTCATCAATGTAAGAACATTTGAGCTTCCTCTAATCTGTTGTGCATTTTTGCTGTATTTAGCTTGTCCATGCAGTCAAGTTACTCCTGGAAGCTGAACGGCAACAAAAAGCACGTCCTTGTCTTCTCCTATAATATGGGGAAAAGTGCTGTGCATCATGTGTAGTTAAACCCTTGGCCTTGTCTTGGAGACATCAGTTGGAAGCCACTTGACAATATTTTTCATGTTAAGGTGATTTAAGGACTTGGCAGCCGGAGAAAAGGACCGGCTGGTTTGTGTGTTGGTGCCATTTTCATTACACAACCTGTACTGATTAGGAGTTAACGTTGTTGGCTTACTCTGTTGAAGATACTTGGGAGTCCTTGACCCTGGGTCATTGTCTCAGTGTTTGGAAGCCAGAGATGGGCAACCAAGTATTTTCACCTCTGCAGTGGCAACCTCCTCGTTCTTTTCAGGCTAACTTTAGTGTAACTTGTGGCTTATGATGGTAATCTTTGCATAGTATAGATTGCATTTAGCACTTTGAAGCATGTTTGACTCCTGAAAAAGCAGATGGGGTCCCGAGACTGGCCTGCCTCTGAAGTACAGTTGTCCATCTCTGGTTTAATAGCTGCCGACAGTTATTTTTTAACACCCAGAATGCTATTTCCTTTACTGTGAGATGCCAGGAAGTAATGCATTACTCAGCAGAAGCAGGCAAAGTAACAGTCTGTGGGGGAATGCCCAGTTGGGCTTGGCTTGCATGGGGAACTATTTCAGCTCTGGGGCACCCATATAGATGGTATTTCCAATTAGCTGTAGTTCTTAATTTGGGACTTGTGGGATGTTTGGCTACTACATCAAGTAGAGCTTGTGTTGGCCAAGTAGACATGGAGCATTCTAATCAGTAATTGAGGTTACAGCCCACCAAACTGCCATTGACCTGGTAATTGGTACAATACCTGCCCTCTCTTACCACCCAGTAGCCAGCCTTAATCGCATACTTGGCAAAAATAGCTATTCTTGATTTATAAAGACTGGTACTTAAATCTCAAACAGGACTGTGAAAGTGTTGGTCAAATTCTGTGACCCAATTCTGTAAATGGATTCATGTTTGGTGCCTGTATTCATGGAAACCTGTGGTGATGAAGATGACACTGGTCTTGACAAGCTTTAGTTTACATTCTAAACGCTAACCTGGAACCAGAGGGGAAGTCAGAACTCATGATCTGCTTACCTTTTTAAAGATCTGTCCACTTGTTTTGGGAATAAGCTTCATTTTGAAAGGGTATTTATCAGCCTAGAAATGGTTTCTTGCTGACTTTGTTCATATTCTGTGGGTTTTGTCCTAGCCTCAGGAAGTCTAGCTGACCTGACCATCCTTTTTGGTACTGGAGACATGGTGTACCTTTTTAGAGCATGCACCTTCAAAAACATAGCAACACCCATATCTTCTGTATCCTGACAAATCGCTTTTGAGGCATCTTTAGTGATGTCATGACTCTAAATGTCCACTGGGTCCTGGTTTGGGCCGCCCGAGACTGATATGCAAGTTGAAATGGAGGCCTTTACTGCCAACCTTCGGTAATGCTAGTTGCTTGGCTTTATAACCTCGGGCACTAATCTTTCATGCAGACCAGTCACCTTATTCCCATGTGTTCTTGCCAGTTCTAAATGTGTAGTGGATTTTATTCTTGATTGGTAAAGCCACAGAAAACGGCCTTTTTTAGATACTGGAAATTTGAACATAAACCTTTTTTATATATGAAGTATTAAGGCGATGAGATTTCTGCTCAAGTTCCAGGCTTTGTACTTCTACCATGGCCATTAGTGTGGCCTGCTGTCTACTGGAAGTTTAATTGTAAAATATTCCGGATTCACCATGAGTCACCAAAACCGATTTATGACAGAATTTGATGCATTGTCCAAGAAATAAACCAAAGCTTATATAACCAAAACCTTTTTTGATACAGGTTTAATTTAATACATTTGTGTTTTTTTTTTTTTGTTTTTTTTTGGCTATACAACTCCTTTTTTAGTATGGTTATCTAAAATTTACCATCAACTTTAATTCAGTTTGTATGCGCAGGGTAGGCCTTTCAATGTTCAACAGGTTTCTTTTAAGCATGATCTCGCCAGCATTACTGGGATTATCCATTCTTTAGGCAGACCTAAAGTCAAAGTACATGGAAAACCTAAAAGCAGCTGTCAAATGATTTGATCATCAAAGCTCTCCACCCTCTGATAGGCTACTGACTCCATGCCGCTTCAGCCTTATTGTGCAGTCATGTTGATGCCTTGGTTTTGGTCCCTTGGTCAGGAGTGGGAGGAATTGCTGAACTGTCAAACCGACCGGAAGAAACTAATTTGGCAGACAGGCCAGCTGAAGTTTTTACTATTATTTAGTGTAGTTTGTAATGAAGTATGTTGGCTTGCAGTATTCTAGTCATGTAATCATGTAAATCCTTAAAAAAAAAAACTCTAAAGAGCAAGTTACCCTTTGGCTGAAGTATAATCTGATATTTTGCATTCCCTGCCTTGGTCTTTCTACCCCTCAACATGCTAATTAAATTAAGCCTTCCTTCTTTCGATGCATATATTTTAGACCTAGAGATGTTATCACTAGGTCTCTGAATTTCTTTGCGTTACCGGAAGATCATGGCTCTCAGAAGGGGCTTGCAGGGGGTGCTGTACATAGCTTCCTAAAACATTACAGCACTCTAGGTTGTGGCCCCATTAGAGGCTCAACCATGAATGAACAGGGTAAAACTAACCTGGCAGTACATTTGGCCATGTAAATATGGTGTCTTGCATTGTAAGGAACGCTAAATTATTTATTTGAAGTCTGGGTGCTGTTTGGCATAACCACCTGGATATAACCACCTGGAGTCAGCAGGCATTGGCAGCAGTACAATGGTCCCAAGATAATTGGGAG